AGGACGGGAGCAGGACGGGACCCGCTGCTCTCCCGCCCATGTGCTGCCCTCACCGATGCTGAGGGAGTGGAGATGTGCCAGCCCGGACATGGTCTGACGCAGCAGAGACACCGGGTCCAGGTTGCAACGGTCAAAGCTGGGGTTCTCCACGTACTGGAACCACAGAAGCAGAATGAGCTGATCAGAGACCTGATTTACTGGGGCAGCCCAGGCAAGGCTCGCCGGGAGAGAGACTTCTCACTAGGCTGGCAGAGGGGGAGCAGACGAGCCCATGCAGAGGCCATTTGTGCCCAAGGCTTCCCCTTTCCAGAGCTACCCGTTGGCACCTATTCCCTCTGCAGCAAACCCCCCCCACTCGTGTCCTCGGACCTGCACAGCTCCAGCACCACTCCTGCTGTAGGCAGAGGTGAAAGGATGCTTCTCCCCATGCCGAGGCTCTTCCCAGCATGTGAACAACTGCCCTGACTGATGGGGGGGCTGGGGCCGCCCCGAGAGGGCAAATGGGCCCGAGAACAAGGGCAGGGGCTCGGCTGAGGTGGGAGCAGTGCTGCTGCTGGCTGCTCTGCCTCCCCCCAGCACCTCACAGCCTGTCCCTGCCCCATCCAGCCCCTGTTCCGAGTGCTGGGAAGCAGGTTGGGAGCACGGCAGGCAGGAAAACACCAAAGAGAGCTCCAAACCCTGGAGCCACTGGCTGCCAACCCTGCCCTTGGGCACACACAGCTCCCTGCTCCCCAGAGCACAGACAAAATCTCTGGGGACCCACCCACAAGCATGGGGATGGGGACGTCCAGGAGCGACGGACACCCCGGTGTCCCCCGGAGCAGGCTCACCTCCTGCAGCGTGGCGGAGCAGAGCTCGATGGCGATGTAGTGGAACTGCTTGTCCTTCTCGGTGCAGAAGTAGCGGACGACGTGGGGATGCTCGTCTGACTCCCGCAGCAGCTGGACCTCACGGTCCACGAGATGGAAACACTCGGGCAGGAGGCGCTTCACAGCCACGTTCCGGCCGTCAAACTGTCCCCTGCAC